GATTTGTATAGCGTTTCAGGGCTACTTTTTTTTTTATTTTCATTATTTTTTTTTTTTTCTAAGACCTTTTTCTTTTCGTTATGGACTTCTCCTAACTTATATTCAGGTATTATTCTACTAACGATAATTCAGACATTTTAATACTTTATATAGGCGTGTATTTATATAGGATAAAATAAAGGCAATGTTAGAATTAAGTGCTATCTTGAGATTTCTCATGATATTACCTTCTTAACTTTTTTCTCGAGTTAGTAGATCTATTTTTTTTTTTTTTTACCAGAAAGAGTTACTTAATTTACGTTTATTAAACTATTAAATATGAATTTAAGAAAGACTATAAATATTTTAAATATATTTATATATTAGATCAATAAAAAAAAATTTCATTATTATTTTATCTTATACTTTTAGTTTAAATAATATACATTATACTATCATATAATATATCTATCATTTAATTATCACATAAATATTTATGCTTATAAATTATTATTAAATCTAATTAGTAACTTCTGCCAAATAAAGTATATCTTTTAGCTAATCCACCACAAGAAACACACTTTGTTTCACCAGGAATGATTGGAGGATCACTGGGTTGCTCAAGAGGAATGCATAGAGTTTTGGCACCCATTGATGGAGCTTTCTCATCTTCTGCTTCTTGTTCAGTGTTGCTATGAATTTAATATAAGTTGTCATTTAGTTTAAACCTCGATATTTAAAACGTTAGAACTTAATGTACTTACTGTCTGGTACTTTTTTCTTTTATGCTATCTTCACATTTCTCTTCTTCGCACCAAGGAGCAAGAACGAAATTTTTATTGTCCAAGTTTGGAACAAAGTCATCCCATTTTAAAACTAATTTTACATGATCATCATAAACCTTTTTGGCGCGGTCGAACATATCTTTTTGAATACATTTAAGAGTATCAGAGATTCGTGAAGTGAGATCTGCTAAAGGAATAGGTTCTTTAACGCCATTGTCACGGCGAACCATAAGTGTTTGCTGTTTTGATAAGTCGCGTGGACCTATTTCCAGACGGATCGGAACACCCTAAATAAATGTATATTAAACAGAATGAGGTAACAAGATATAAACTATATAAAAATATTATTGTACTCACTTTCAATTCCCAGTGATTAAATTTATAACCTGGTGAATAATTCTCTCTTAGATCTGCTTTGGCTTTGATCCCAGCTGACTTCATCTCTTTAACTACATAATTTATTTTATCTTCAACACATTTTTTCTCATCTTCCGTGGTCTTTGATGTTATACCACAGGGAATGACAACAACTTGAGTTGCGGCAACACGAGGAGGCAAAACCAAACCTTTATCGTCACCATGAACCATGACCATCACACCAATAGCACGAGTGCTAATACCCCAAGAATTTTGCCAGACATACATTTTCTTGGCATCTTTACCATCAGGACCTGCTGGGGCACTAGGATCCTCAATAACAATATCAAACATTTTCGAAAAATTTTGACCTAAACAATGAGAGGTAGCGGCCTGAACTCCGCGACCTGTGGTTGGAATAAAACCTTCAAGAGTAGTAGTATAAAGTCCACCAGCAAATTTTTCCTTTTCAGATTTAATTCCTTTAATTACAGGAAATGCAAGCATATCCTCATACACTTGACGATAAAGCTCTAAAATTTGATATACTTCAGTATCAGCTTCTTCCTTGGTAAAATGTGCAGTATGACCTTCTTGCCACAAAAATTCACGTGTTCTAATAAAAGGTTCTAAAATAAGTGGTGAAAAAAAATGAGAACTAATAACAAAGTTGATAATTACACATTTTAATAACCAAAATAAAATAAAAAATACTTGAAAAACATACGCGGATTTTTGAATTCCCATCGAACAACATTACACCATTGATTAAGTTTTAATGGTAAATCACGATGAGTTCTAATCCATTTGGCGAAATATGGATACATTACTGTTTCGGAAGTTGGACGAATCGCAATAGGGCTTTCCATTGTGTTGGATCCCCTGTTAAAATTTGGAAATTTATATTTTCTTTTCTCGATATCTTTTTTATCAATAAAAAAAAATTTAATTAGATTACAAACGCTTTGGTGACCCAAGCGACCTCAGGGGCAAATCCTTCAATATGATCCTTTTCTCTTTCTAATTGTCGTTGTGACACAAACATCGGAAAATAAGTATCTTCGACTCCCATCTCTTTAATGGCGGCATCAAAAAAATCTATTGATAATATCAAGCATACGTTAGAACAGTTTTTGTTTTTTATTAAAAAAAAAAAATTTAATAATTCAATTAATCAATATGACTGACTGACTCTGAATTTCTTGCCATATATTATAAGCTAAAGGCCTTATGATATAACATCCGGAAACTTCTTCATAGTATTCTAGCATTTCAGATCGTTTCAATACCTTGAAAATGATCAAATAAAATTTTAATCCATCTTTCAAAATTATTAATCGAAATTTTTATCGAAAACTATACCTGCTTATACCAGAGAGAAAAGTCTACTTCTTTTCGAACCTCGACACCAAGCTGAGAAGCTCCCTCAATATGTGCTATGAAAGGCGACCGAATTAAGTATGTTATCTAAAAGATTATTTGAACCAATTTTAAAGCATACCCTCGGCTTTTTTAGAAGGCTTTTTCGGAGCAGATTTCTTTCCGGACTTTGAAGTATGGCTATGGAAAAATCCGTGTTTTAGCATTATCTCGAGGTAAGCATTATGTGATCATATTATTATTACCCTTTTTGTGCCTTATCATTAGCCTGAGATACTAGCTCTTCAGCCTCATTAGAATTTCTGCTCGACATCTTATACAAAAAGTTCAGTTTGGGCGAAACTGAATAATTGATCTGATATTGACAATTTATCATATATAAGCCATTGTTAAATTTAGATTTTATGCTGATTGGCCTGATCTATTTTAAAAACGTGGTACTAGGGAAACGGGAACCGTTGTTACACAGATATTTGCTTTATCTACAGTGCGAAACCTCTATAATAGGAATTTTAAAAAACATTAATAAAATTTAATCCACACTGCTTGGATTTTAATCAAAAAAAAAAAATTGATTTATATTTGTAAAAATGAATCAATTTATAAAAAAAAGTTTTTTTTTTTCAATTTTGTAAATTATGTAAGCATTGTATAATATATATATGAGCAAAAAAAAAAAAAAAAAAAACTAGAATTAAAAAATTATATGAAACAATTTATTTTATTTTATTTTATTATTTCATTATAAATTACATCAGATACATAACGATGAAACTTTTTTTAGCTGCAAACTCTGCCATTTTCTAGTAATACCTTTTCTATAAATATTAAATCGTCATGATTTTTGTGCATATTTTTGAATTGTAATTAAAGGAACTGAATCTAATGCTTTAAGAACAATTTATTATAATCTAACCTATGTGTAATTGCAATATTCTTGTATATTTCTTTTGCTGAACTCTAATACATTTTTATATAATTTAATTTATAATAATATTTAAGTTAAAATTTATAAATAATAAAAGAATTCATTCTTATAAATTTGTGATCACATATTTTTTCAATTTCAGTTTTTATAATTAATTTTAGATAAATTTAACCTAGTATAACTTTATCAATATTAAGGATATTAAAATTTTAATCCAAGATTCTTAAAACACAGGTCATGGTTTATTTATTTTATGAATTAAATTTTTAAGTTTATATATAATAAAATTTTTCTTTGCATTTTAAATTTGTTTCATTTTTACTATAGCAAAGTTCCTATTATAGAGGTTCTACATTATAGGATTTTGTGTAATTACTAGGAAAACGGAAACCATTATCAAGTCTAGAACTTTATCCAGACTTTTATGCAATTGCAAGAGTTAATCAACATCTACTTAATTATTAAGCGAGGGACTGAGACATTTTTTCATCATATATAGTCTTATACTTCATTCTGATCTAATTATATAGTCCTTCGCTTTGCTCTGGACTAATAAAGAAAGTTTGATGTAAGAAATAAATGCAGTTTAACTTATCATTGATATTTCCAGCCCTTCCTAAAAAAATAACCCTTTGTGCTTTTTGTTAGATTAACTTTGAGATCACATAATATGACACATAATATAATTATAGACTCTTAATACGTAATTACAGATTAAAATCTTACAATAAAAATTAAGATTCTAATATAATCCTGAATATTTCAGCTGAAAAGTAAATCATTAATAGATTAACAAATTTTTGCAGACACGACTCCTTAAAGAAATCTGCTTTGAAGAATATTTTCTCGATCTTTACTTTCCGTAGTGAATTTTTATATTAAACTAAAATTTCTGTGAAGCATTTTGAGCAAGTTTTTAAAAAAATGATGAATGATTCACTTCTTTCATTTCTTTGATTTCTAATGTCTGGTATGCTAAATTATTAGTGTCTTACATTTTTAAATTCGATAATGAATTTATTTAGTTAGGTTAGTTTATTTCTCATTTTCTAGTTCAGTTTTTAACAAACATGATTTATTAAGTAAAACTTGCTCTAAAACTAAGAGACGATAATAAAACTTTAATTGAAAAAAATTTTTTTGTTTATTTTCTTTTAGAATAATCAAAAAAGAGATAAAATAAATTAAAGATACCACCAGATAAAATGACAAATTAATCTATCCTTAATTTCACCAAATATTAATAAATTATTGATATTAAATACTGTTACAAGACTTTTATGCATAGCAAGATTGAAATTGAAATTTTCTTTTTCTTAAAAATTTTTTTTAATCATGATCTAGTGATACAATAGCTTATAAGTAAAAAAAACATTTAATTATTCTTCACAAACTTTAAACTTTGCAGAGATGATATTACATTACAATTATAAAATAACAGAACATGTGAACTGAAAAATTCAAATATTGTACTACCAGATCATATATATATTAATTGAGTTTGCTTGAGAATATAATATTGACCATTTTCATAATTGATTTTATTTTCACATAAATCCCCTTTTCTCAAAATGTCTTCAACTACTTTAATTTCTGACTTGAGTTCAGCGGGTAAGAAATTTTGAAATAAAGTTGATAACATATTTCACAAATATCCCAAGTTACCAAAAGAGCTTCCAAGTAGAGATAGGTAAATATGCCTCGCGTAAAATATTTTAATATCTGCCTAATGTTACTTAATATGATTACAGTTTATCCTTGCAGATTGGATCGAAAATTACAGTGAAAAATTATAACATCTTTCTTAACTAAATCGAAAAAACTGGATATAAGTTGCATTGGGATAAAGAAAACGTATATATTATAGATATAGCTAATATAGAATATGAGACTGTAGTAGTACAACTTTTTAAATGTTTTGATGAACCTAATAATGGTGTGAAATGTAGTCTAATAAAGATTTTTGGTGCACTATATGAGTGATTCTCATTAAATCTTCTTGGTCTTTAGTTTGTATAAAAATTCACATTCTTTTCCTTATAGATCATTACAATCCAATCAGAAGTGAAAATAAAATTGCATCAGATGTGACAATTTGTTCAAGTATTGCTCATGTTTTAAACCCATTAATTGATCATTAAGGTTCTCCTTCAAGGAATGCGAATGTACTTTGAATTTAATTTTATTATCATGATATTTTTCTAGTTACTTTTCTAATATTAATCATATATTTACATAGAATCGTCCTCATGCGAAAATCATTTGTGAGGTAAATAACATTCAAACAATCTTTCAATAAAATACAAAATGTGAATTATAGATGCACAAAGAATATGTGTGTTGTGTATTTAGTGTCAAGCTTTTTCTAAAAACAATTATGAGAATAACTGTTCATCAGGTGATGATCGTAAGTTTTGTATGTCTAGATTCTGTTTATTATTAATTTAATTTCAGTTTTTTTTAATATTAAACTTGTTTATAGACACAAATAGCATCAGTAGAAGGTGTATTATCACAAAATGTAACTTTAGCAAGAGCAGAAGTGTATGTCATGGAGGTAAGATGAATCTACTGTTATATTCTTATGATCAAATGTCAGAGGATTAAAGTAATTTTTTGCAATATGATAGTGGAATTTCAGCACAATTTACAGTCACACCTCGATATAACGAAGTTGCTGATCTAGCTGATCAGAACTTCGTTATAAGAATCTTCGTTAACGTTATAATGAATTATGCGGTATGTATAACGAATAATTCGTTATAGCGTTAACAAATTATTCGTTATAGTAGATGATTACTAATTTCATTACACAAATATAATTTTACTATTTTCAGAAATATTTTCACGT